CAACCCAGAACCAATTCCAACACCAACAGACCGAACACCAAGATAAAGGTCCACAATCTTTTCTCCAACTGTAATTATATAAATTTCGAGAACTATTTACAAAATTCTAAGAAACCACAATGACGCAGGAAATGGTTTTCTCACCACCTCTTGTGAAATTGTTAGCAACATATTCTTTCCCATAGATAAGCAGCTCGGGATGAAAAAGCAGCTGGTAGGTTCCCGTACTAATATCAACAAAACGTCTCCAGGGACATGTTTTCCTGCATTAGTCTCGCTGAGGAAAGTGTGACACCAAACATAGTATCATTGCGAGAGAAGAAAAGTACAAACCATGTTTTTTTTTAGAAAGAAGGCAGAAAAGACAAACCATGTTTGTCCCTCAAAAAGCTTCAACACACATAAACAAAATAGAAATGGAGGTTTGGTCATAATCAGGACCGGCCCTGGGCTAAAGCCCGTGAAGCAAGGGCTTCGGGCGCCAGGATTTATTAAAAATTTAGGGGCACCATGTTCAGCGAGGTTTCACTAGTCTAGTGGCTTCTGTATATCGTCAAAAGTTCTCTAGGCCCGGGTTTGAGGTTGCCTTTATGCATTTTTTTTTCATTTTTCATAATAAAGAAAATTTTCCATTAACTATAAGATTTTATAATAAGTAAAGTTCTGATCGTAAAGCTTGTTACCTTTCTCTAACTTTTAATTTTCCTTATATATTATATTAAAAGATAAAATCAAAACTACATAAATTACAATAACTATCTAATTTATTTACCCTAGCAAATATCAATTGACGTTTTATTGAACCTCTTTTTTACTCTTCTCTGCCGATCAATCCTACTGTGGATCTTCCATTATTAACTTTTGAGTAATAGGTGTATCTCTTAATCTATGTAAGTTGTTCATCTTTCTTTGTTTCTTTTGTTTTCGTCAATTTCTGTAGAAAATTTTGAAATTTGTCTAAAATATGTTTACTTATTTTCTGTTCTAGCATATGTATAATGTATTGTATTGTCTTCTGTTATCTAAATTATGGTTTTCTTTGTAATATTTTTGATTTGTAGAGAATGCTTCCAGGAAATAGAATAAGAAATCAATCAAGTGGAGCTAAAAACAGGGCGAAAAAGGCTAGACAAGATGATTTTATTAAATCTCAAGCTAATGCTATGCTTAAGTATGTCACTAGAACTAAAGCTTATGACACTTCTAACACTGAAATAGACAAAGAAGATGAAGAGCTTGTTTTTGAAGAAGATGATGAGAAGGGTGAAGAAGAAACTGCTAGAGATGATGAAGATTGTATGAATATGGACAAAGAAAAATCTGAAAAAGAAAAAAAAACATGGAATCCCAAGAGAAAGTTGATGATATTCGAAGCTTCTCGAAAGATGTTGATATGAATGATCTTGGGAACTGGAAAAAAATTGAACAAAGAATGAGAGATTATTTGGTTGAAAAAGGTCCACCTACAAGACCTTCGATTGATTATCCTTTTCCAAAAGATGGTATTGGAAGATGTTTCAATTATTCATGTTATACAAGAAGAATGAGTAATGGAGAGAGACAAGACAGAAGATGGTTAGTTTACTCAAAATCTAAGGATAAAATCTTTTGCTTTTGCTGTAAATTATTCACTCAAGAAATTTCCCTCCTATTTTGGTAACTACTGGATATGATGACTGGAGGAATGCTTCACATAGGCTGAAAAATCATGGAACTAGTTACAATCATATTGTTTGCATCAGCCGGTGGATTGAGCTAGAAATGAGGCTGAAAAAAGTGAAATTATTGACAAGCATTTAGAGGAGGCAATTAACAAAGAGAAGAAACATTGGAGAGATGTGATGTTGAGGATAATTGCAGTGGTAAAAACTCTAGCAGAAAGAAATTTAGCATTTTGTGGAGAGAACGAAAAAGTCACTGATCCAAACTGTGGAAATTTCTTGGCTTTTATTAAGATGATTGGAGGCTTTGATGAAGTAATGAAGGAGCATATGCGACGAATAGACAAAGGTGAAACTCAATATCATTATCTTAGTCATAAGATTTAGAATGAGCTGATAGAATTAATTGCTAATGAGATTAAGATGGTAATTTTAAAGAAGATCCAAGAGGCAAAATATTTTCAGTCATTTTGGATTCTACTCCTGATATTAGTCGTAAAGAGCAAATGACTTTTTTGATTCGATGTGTACATGTTTCTACGATTCACCTAAGGTTGAGGAGTTCTTTTTGTCATTCTTTGAAATCAAAGACAAAACAGGAGAAGGAATTTTTACCATTCTTCAAGATGCATTGGCTGATCTTAAGTTAAATATCAGTGATGTAAGAGGACAAGGTTACGACAATGGATCTAATATGAAGGGAAAGCACAAGGGTGTTCAAAAAATATTGCTGGATATTAATCCAAGGGCATTTTATACTCCATGTGGGTGTCATAGTCTCAATTTTGCTCTTTGTGACATGGCTTCTTCATCAGATAAAGCAGTTTCATTTTTTTGGCATTGTGCAACGTTTATACGTTCTGTTTTCATCTTCAACCAACAACTGGGAAGTCTACAGAGAAATGGTGAATGGTACTACACTTAAGCAATTATCACAGACTCGTTGGGAAAGTCGTATTGACAGTGTAAAACCAATAAGGTTTCAAGCTGTAAAGATACGAGAGGATTTATTTTACATAGCCGAGAATAGTGACAGTCTTGGACATCGTAGTGATGCTGAGTGTCTTGCAGAAAGTGAAGCACATGGAATTGGAAGATTGAATTCTTGTTTGGAATGGTCATTTGGTATTATTTGCTTTATGTTGCCAATACAGTGAGCAAATCTTTACAATCAGAGGATATGGATCTTGAGGCTGCTATTTTGCAGTTAGAAGGGCTTGTTGGTTACTTGAAAGGCTACAAAGAAACTGGTTTTGAGAAAGCAAAAGCTGAAGCTATGCAAATTGTCATTGACATGGAGATTGAACCATCATTTTCTTCAAAACCAAAACGCTTTATAAAAAAGAAAAAGCATTATGGTGAAGATGCTGAAATAGTTGATGATAGTAACCCTTTAAACGCAGAAGAGAGTTTTAGGATTGATTATTTTATCAACATAGTGGATCAAGCTATAATGTCACTTGAGGTTAGATTCGAGCAATTTCAGCGCTACGACGAACTTTTTGGGTTTTTATTTGGTTTGAAAAGGCTAAAGTCAGGAAAAGATGATGAGTTGATGACATCTTGGTCAAGCTTGAAGCTTCTCTAGAGCATGATGGGCATTTTGATGTAGATGAAACATCTGTTTATGGAACTCCAATATCTAAGAGGAATTTTGCCAAAGGAAATTACAAAAAGCGATCGAGATGTTGGAATTTTTAAAAAGAATGGATGGCTGTTATCCAAACACAAAAATTGCTTATCGTATATTACTAACAATTCCAATTTCAGTTGCTTCTGCAGAAAGAAGTTTCTCAAAGCTGAAGCTCATCAAGAATTATCTACGTTCGACTATGTCTCAGGAGCGTTTAAATGGACTGTCGATGATATCTATTGAGCATGAGAGTTAGCGGAAAAACTTGATTATTCGAAGTTGATAAATGATTTTGCAGGAAAAAAGCAAGGGGAGTTATCTTTCATGAATAATGTATTGTTTGTTTTGTACTTTTATTTTTTGAGACCAAATTAAATCATAATAATATTTGCGTTATATGATTATATATTTATATGTGATAAAAAATATTGTTAAGGGGCAACAAATTTGGAGTTCACTTTAGGCGCCATGGACGGCCGGACCGGAACTCATAATACCTAGGCAGCATGCCATCAGGCTGGATCCCATGTTCGAGGCTATAAATCTGCCATCAGGCTATAAATCTTCCAGCAAGATTTGTTGAAACTCAGCTCAACCGATATGAATTCCTATGATTTCCCTCACTTTTTTTCTCAGAGAAACCCTAATTATTTGATCAACTTTGATCCTATAACTTATTTGGCCGCTTTTAATGATTTATTTAGTTAGATATAATTTATATTGATAGAGATCTGTGAAGGATTATAAAAATGTTAGAAAATTAAATGTGATATAAAATATTATTAATTTACAACCTATTTAATAGGTCCAAATTAAAAACATGTCATGGTAAGTTTCAAATAGGACTATAACTTAATAGAGTAGATCCATAATTTCCAAGAAGTTTGTTTTTGTAGAAGTTATACAAATGACTAATCTAATAAATTTGAATTTTACATACAATTTATAAATGCTAAATACAATAAGAAGAAATTTGAAATAACAAATCATTGATCCAATAACAATCTCAAAATCTTATTATTGTTTTTAAGACAAAAACTCCAAATTAATACTCAAAAAGCAACATTTAAAAAAAACATCTAAACCCCCAAAAAGGAGAGAATTTATTTGTGAAATAACAAAAAAAGATAAAATTAGTTTTGTAGATTAATATAAGAGAGATAAAAAAGGAAAAAAAGTAGAAAATGTGTTATTATAATTAGTTAGTGAACTGTGAGATTTTGTTTTAGTGTATGCAATATCCGAAAAAAGTGTTAGAGAGAGAGAGTTACCTTCACATAACCTAGAACATGAACAAGGAGGATTCCCGATTTCTTTTTCAGTATTCTAAAAATAAAAATCTCTTTTTCTTCTTGCTGATAAAGTCACTTTTTATCTTCTCTTGATTTGCTTGGACGGAATCTTTTTTTATTAAAATATTCTACAAATGCAGGATATGTCTCACGAGATTAGTCATGCTGACATGGAAACTAGCTGTCTTCAGCAATTATTCATCCCCGAGACTTAGACATCCTCCAATCAAAGCTAGACACGTCCACACTAATCCGCTCTTGCGCGGCGCCTTGTATCTGTTTTGCTGATTTCAGACGGGTCCCATCTCCGTCTTGCCCACGCTATATAAACTCTCCTCTTTTTATTCTTCAAACCCGAAAATAAAATAAAAACAAAAAACATTTCTTTCTCTCTCTCTAGATATAAAAAAACAGATGGATCGGCAAAATTCCGATGACATCATGAGATTTCTGGAAGGAATGGCTAGCTCCGACGACGTTCTCTTCGGTTTTCTCGATGAAGGAAACCACTCACCGGAGGATTTCCCAGACAACGGCAACCTCAACGGCGACTCAGATATAGACGAAGAAAGCGAGGTCAATAAGAATTGTAATTCTGAAGAAAACAAAGCTTTCTGGCCGGAACAAGAACAACTTCTTCAGGTGCTCTTTTCTTCTTTTAAAATATTAAATCATAATTTTAATTAGCACATAATTTCGGGGTCTAAATTTGTTGTTTTTTGTTTTTGTTTGGAATTGTGTAGGGGACACTGTATCGGACAAGTTCGATTGAGACAAAGATTAGACAAGCGACAAAGGAAGCTTTGAAACAGGTTAAATCAAAGGGTCTTCATTGTATCTGCCGGCGGCCCGATAACGGCGGTTGTCGGAGCTGCTTACGTGGTGAAATCTCTCGATATCTCCGAGATGTGGCCGGCTACGACTGCGTCATCTCCAAATCCAAGTGGAGAAGCTCTCAAGACATCCCTGCAGGTTTGGACACATTTATTATTAAAATACTTAGTACTGGCTCTGAAATGTTCAGCAATCCTTATCATTATCCTTCCAGATCACGTCACTGCAAATATCTTAAGTAAATTTTTAATATAGAAAAAGGACAAATATTATGTCCACAAGAACACGAATAGATCTTTTCAGACCTATTCGTTGATTGAGTGTCGGATTTAGTCATTCAACAAATTATATTTTACTATATAAATTAATATCGAGTGACTTAACAAGCATTTGGGCTGACTCGTGTTTTTATATTTTAAAAAATCAGGAGAACACGAATACATAGAGATCGTGGACCGATCTGATTCGAAGAAAGGCGAGATGCGAGTGGTGATTGAGTTATCATTCAGGGCAGAGTTCGAGATTGCAAAAGGCGGTGAAGATTATAAAAAGCTTATAGGCCGATTGCCCGAGGTCTACGTCGGAAAACCCGAGCGGCTCCGATCTCTGATCAAGATATTGTGCATTGCCGGGAAGAAATGCTTGAGAGACAAGAAAATGTATATGGGACCTTGGAGAAAACACAAGTACATGCAAGCCAAGTGGCTTGGCACATGCGATAGATCCAACTCCTTGGATGCGGCCGTGGTCTCTGAGACGTCTGAGCCGGAAAATTGGGTGCCACCGGCGAAGCCTAGGGTTTCCAGGTTGAACCACGATGGTTTGCTTGGTAGTTTGTCCACCGGGATGGGCCGCCCTACCGCTGTAACGGTCGTGTGATTGTGTGTGACGCAAGTAATTATTTGACTTGTAACTATTCATTAGTTTCATTAGTGAGAGTTACGTTAATTATGAGTTCCGACTACCGGAGTTTGCTTCTACGAGGTCGCCTCTTCAGTGATGGAGTGATCGGTTCGGTTAATTCATTTGAGAGATGAAATATTTGTGACTATTTTGCAATGGAATTTTTTTACTTAGATTGTATATACGGGAATATTATTAAAATTTTGAATCCCGAATTGTTTGGAAAATTTATCCATCTATTTCTAATCTTGATATTAACATTCCGTGTTATATGCAGCCACCAAACGCTTCTAATCTATTAATTTAGGATTCCAAATTTTATATCTACTCTATTAAAATAGAGTCATTCTTTTTATCTACTAATACAAGTTGTCATTTAAGTTTGGACCCTTTCTAAAGTGTTACAAATAATACAAAGCATATAGTTAATTGAACCGTATTATTTAAATTAAACCGGTGGTTATTTATGGGATATAGCCTTGAGCTTTCTTTTGTTTTTAAAACAAATTATATAGTTTGGTTTTGGGCTTAGTATTAAGATAAATTCCAAAAAACATTAAATAAACTTTCCACATTACTAAATCAAAAAATCAATTATTATTTTCAGGCCCAAAATTTAATATTCTTAACAAAACAAAATTATATATTATTAATCATTTATTTAAATCATGTACTTTAAAACATGTTAATGTATTTTTTTATTTTAAATAGCAATCACTTTTTTTTGATAAATTTCAATGGTAAATTTTAAATAATTTATTGTTTTATTTTTCTTAAATAATTTATAGATTTAAAAAAAAATATGTAAAGCAAAACCAAACACTAACTCTAAAACTAAAATCCAAACCAAAAGCTGAAAATGCAGGTTATATTTTTTGCTTTTGTTTATTTACTAAATAAACTATTGCAAATTTTTTTAAAAAAAATTGTCATATTTTCAGCTTTAAATTAGATGTTTGATTATTTGAGATTTGTTTGTTGGTAATATCAGTTCAAACTAACTCAGCGGGTCTAAAAATTAAAAAAACTCAAACCAAAACCTGAAAATCAAAAATATAAACTTAAAACTAAAAACCAAAATTTTAAAACAAAATCTAAAATTAAAAAATGAAACTAAAAACTAATGAAAAACAATCATCACCACAAACTTTGGTGAATTGATTTTATACCAAAAAATTATTTAAATTAAGACAAAACAAATTATAGAAAATTTTAATCATACAAAATTTCCACGCATTTAAGCGCGGGTCAAAATCTAGTACTGTTTAAAGTTAGTGTTTTAAAATTTGGACACTTTCAAATTTGTTAGTAGGCTTTATGGACCATTTTATCTACTATTTGAAGTTGTATTTTATTATAAAAAAATCTGTATAAAAATTTAACAAAATCTTATTAAAATATTAAAATATTTTCTAACTAATACAATGACTAATTTCGTATTAATATAATATTGTTAGTCACTAATACTAATTTAAATTTTATTATAAAACAGATATAGAAAACTATATTCTATTTTTATAAATTCCATAACTATAGTCCATATTATATTAAAATAGGAATACTATATGAATTAAATAAAACAAAGTTATATAATATTGATAAATTAGTTTAGTTTATCTCAATAATGCTTGCATTTAAATAAATAAACTATCATTCACCGTTTAAAAATATTAATTTTTTTAAACTATGGATATTTTTATACAAAATGTTAGCATATCTTAAACTTTTATATCTACAAGTCTACAACTATATATATATATATATTAATTTGATATCCGAGCAATATATTATATAAAGTATTTATATACAAAATATAATAGTATATAACTAACTTTAAGTTCATGCGTTATTTACAAAATATAATATCGATTTTTAAATAATTCAAAGTTATTAATAAAAGATCTATTTTAACTACAAATTTAAGGTTTTTAATTATAATAAATTCTGTTGAGAAGCAATTAAATATTTTACCAAAAATTCTAAATATTTTTATTAAATAATACATTAAGTTATTAACGAAAAAAAAAGTCATATAATTCAAATTCAAAAATATTTATGTACTTTTCAAAACAATTCTTGACCAAATATACAAATTTAAAAATAAGTATTCTAAATTCAAATTGAAAATATTTCCAATTTTATAAAAGATAAAATTATAGATGCTAAAGTGTAATCTTTTCAAATGAAACATGAAACATGAAAAATGAATATTATTGTAAGAATCTAAAATAATATAATATTTTGAAATATTAATTTAATTAAAAAAGTCAGAGAATTTAATACCATAACATTCAAAATATTTTATATCGATATCTTAACTAAAATAATATCATAGAAGCTATTATATATATTTTTATCAAAACAATATGGCTAAGTTAATTAAACTAAACAATATATTTATTTATTAAATTTAGAAATTTACTAAAATGATAGATCTTATAGTTGATTTTTTAAACATGAATGGGCTCACCAATCGTATCATAATTTTCAATAACAAACTCTAAACAATAAGATTATAAAGTTACACTAATGTAACACGAAAATGTTAATCAGATGTTTAACGATAATATTTAATATATGGTTTTATAAAATGAAAAATATATCCACACGTACGTGCGGGTCAAATTCTAGTTTCTAATTTAAATGCATGGTGTCCAAGAATAAAAGTGCAGCCAAATGGGTTGAGTTGGAGGCCTGCTGTACACCATTACACATAGGGGTGGGCAAATAAACTGAACCCAAAATAAATACAGAATATATCATGTTTTATGGTATTTTTAATTATGGGTATTATCCGAACCGAAACTGAAATGAATCCAAACCTAAATGGATATTCGATTGAACCCGAAAGATTCAAAATCCCAAAAAGAACTTTTACCAAATGTGATCTCAATTCCAAATATGTAGCCAAAATACTTTAAGGTATAATTGAACATCTACATGAATGTTAATGATTGAAGGTAGCCGTTGAAGCTTGAAAGTTTTAGATGCTGGTTTTGTTTTCATTGAATAATGTTTTTTTATTTCATGAGAACTTGGTTTTTCATTTTATGCTTTTATTTATTTGGTTTTCTTTCTATGAATAATTATATTTATCTTTCGCTTGATTTTGAATGATCACGTTAGATGTGTTTCTTTCTTATTTTGAATCGATTTTACTTATGTTTTGGTTACAAATTAGGTACAAACCAGGTACTTTAAAATCGAAGAACTGATTTTACTTATGTTTTAGTTACAAAGTTGGTACAAATTAGATACTTTCAAACTGAAGAACTAAATGGGACCCAAACATGAAAGTACAATCGGATTATACTGGTTCTTTGAATATCTACTAACTCGACCCGATCCCAAACCGAAATTTCATATAATCTAAGTGGGGCTGATTTTGATAAACCCGAAAAACTAAGACTAAATTGGAGAAAACCGAACCCGACTGGGACCCCGAATGTCCATGCCTAATTACAATCATGGTAAAAGATTAAAATTCATAGCCCGGAAAGTCGATGGGAAGACAATATGCCCACAAACAAAGAGGTCTATCCTGAGCTTTAGGAAGAATCAGTGCCGACTTGAAGCAGTTAACTCAAGATGTAAAAAAGAGAAAGGCATTAAATAATACTTAAAATATTAACATTTTAATTACATTATATAAGAGAAATTATTTAAAATACCATAAATTGGCTATCAATTTTCAAAAATACTTTCAATCAAAATACCTTTTTCAATGATGGAATGACCGGTTTAATCACAACGTAAAGAAGATCAAGACATTAGATAATACTTTTAAAGATTAACATTTTAATCCCATTATATTAGAGAAATTGGTTGAAATACCATAAGTTGACTACCAATTTTCAAAAATGCTTTTAATCAAAAATATCATAACATTTGGGTTTATAGTTTAGTGATTATTGTTTAGTGATTAGTACGTAAGGGGTGTGGTTGAATTCATAAAAAGATTGTAAATAATTTATAAATATTTATAAATGAATTAAGAGGGCTAGTTTAGTGTTTTTATCACAAATTTAGCGTATTTATGAAAATTATCTTCTTTAAAAAGTAAATTTTAAAATGTCATCAATTTTTGGTAAAATTAGAATTTCCACATAATATAATAAAATTAATTTAAATATATAATTATTTACTTTTCATAAAATAAATATTATTATTTTTAATTTTATATCTAGATTATAACTTCTAAATCTAATCCGCTAAAGTATAGACTGTGAAGCTTTGTTTGAAAAAAATATTTACAACATCATTGTGTTCTTTATCATCCAATCAAATATTTCCTTATTGAGAAATTGTTTGAAATACCATAAGTTGGCTACAAAATACTTTTAATCAAACATACTCTAACATTTAGGTGTAATATTTGATAATATTGTTTAAGGTTTAGTATTTAAGGGATGGGAATGAGTTTATAAACTTTTATAAATGATTATTAAACATTTATAGATGATTAAAGAGGGTTAATTTAGTTTTTTTATCACAATTTATGTATTAGAAAATAACCATATTTTAAAGTTAAATTTAAAGTGGTATCACAATTGTGATAAAATTAGAGTTTTCCCATTTTAATAATGGTAAATTAGTGATGACCCTTTTCATAAAACCCTATGTTTGTGATAAAAACGACCATTAATCCTTTTAAATCATTTATAAATGTTTAAGAATTAGTTATAGAAGTTTATAAACCCCACAACATCCCTAAATACTAAACAATAAATTGTAGTCACGAAACCCGTAAACCCAAATGTTATGTTATTTTTGAAAAGTTGGTATCTAATTTGTGGTTTTCAAACAATTCCTTATTAATTTTTTTTAACAATTAGATTTATAATTGTAGTTTCCTTTTCCTTATATTTTTCAAATAACATATATAGTAAAATGAAACATTTATAAAACATTAAATATATAGTTTCTTAAGAATATGTTCTTTTAAAAATAATTTAAAGAAAGATAACAAAATCAGA